CAGAATAAACACTAATTGAAATGTATCTATTTGTTAAATGACTCCAAGTGGAAAATTTCTGTTTTTCTAGTGAACTTCTACTTTCTTTCAAAGTCATCGTATTTGCATGATAAGCTAGTTTTATTCTGTTGTCTACTGTGCTTCAATTTAACTTGCCATAGCAAGTCTCTCTTTCTTTTATTTACTGAACGACATTTTCCACTGAATAGTCAAATTCATTTTGAAATAGAAAAGGGTAAGTGCTGCTAGTAAAGTCACTCTAGCATTTATCAGAAACATTAGTATATTTTCATTAGTGACACCAAAATACTGTGAAGAATATTGTTTCTTTATAGTACAGATTGTATTGCGTTACGTTTTTAAATGTTTATTACACAGGATTAAAATAGATTTCCTCCTTAACAAATGAAAATTTTGCACACAATCAGAGGAGCCTGAAAGATGCTGTAGTTCCATTCAACTGTAGATTTGCTCTGTATCCAATGAATTATCTCCTTATAATTAAGTTGTCATAGCAATGCATTTTTAATAGTATGATTCGTATGCCAGTAATGATCTGGAGACAGAGCTGTTGATAGTTTTTTAGTATTCAGTAACATTAAATTATAACTTTAGGAAATACACAAGTACTGGTCTACTCGCACTAGCAGAAGAACATGTTGATCAGAGTTAAATTAGGCCAAAGTATAATCTGACATACACGACTAACAGAAAGCTACATAAAACTTCAGGAGGCTCAGCTCAAGAAAGTAAAGGCAAATTCTGCACCTGCTTTGTTTTAAATGTATATACTTAATGATTGAAAAAAAACGAAATAATTACACCTTATTAGGCAGAAAGAAAGGTTTTGGGACTTTTTTTTTTTCCAAAGGTGTTGCTTCTGTATATTGGTACTTAGATGGTACACCAGGCAGCTATGGAGAATAAGCACTGATAATGGGAAATCACAGTACTTTTCTGACTCTTTTTTAGCATGTATTTCTGTATTTTTAACAGATCAATTAAATTACACACATTTATAAGGCTTCAAAATAACAGGAAATCATCCTCCAAGGACTAGAACTGTTTGTCATGGCTGTTTCCAAGGCACTGATGGCAAGTGTCAGTATGCATGAGTCTGTGAGAGCAAGGCATGAATCATGAGCAAAGAAAATTGCCTGATATTCAATTTCTTTTTTAATTCAAAATGTGAAGATTAATGTGCATTATTTTTTAGTATTAGACAAAATGTAAGTGAATCAAAGAGAGATGAAGAAGAAAATGGTGTTAGCTTATTTTCTGTGGCTGAGAAAGATAAGGAAGGTAGAGGAAAAAAAGATTCTTTTCCTTATGTTTCTCTAAAAGGATAAGGCTTAAATTTTGAAGTGTTGGCTGAGAAGAGTATTACACAGCACACATCCTCTAAATGTTCCTTCAAAGGGCTGATGAAGGTGAAAGTACATTGTGAATGCAGCAACTGACCTAACTAATATGTCTTAATGAAGATGTGTATTGATCTGGTTATGAGGAATATTTAGCCTCTAAATATATAAATGTGAAATGGTAATTGTTCACTCTGAAGTTTCTGACCTTCTCTGGATGCTGTGAGAAACACATCTCCTGAAGTCAGACTTTAGAAGCTTGCAAGCAAGGGAAAGGTGTGTAAGTATTATAAATTTCATACACACTAAATTTACCTGGTTTATATATATAGCCTAAGAGTGAAAAATTAAACCAAACTTTTTTTTTTTTTCCAGACTGAGGCACACTGTAAATTTAACAATGGCAAAGATAGTTACTAAGAGAACTGTGGAGTGATGGAGCTAAGAAAGTACCAAATGACTAAGTAGAACTTCTGCTTCCCTCTCACTTCCAGTTATATGCATTTTTCCTTAGGATCAAAGATAATCCTACACTTCGATTATCTAGGGAAAAAAGTGGAATACACAAGCTGAAGGTGACATACAAAGAAAGACTTCCAAGAAAATAATATAGTAAGAAATATGAGACTATATATATTAATAAGTGCATATATGCAATATATGCACCTTTACTCTTTATTTAGAATGGCTTGTACTTCAGTTAATAAAAAAATAAATAAATGAATGAATAACATTTTCATTAGTAGTTGTAAGCTTTCTCTTCTATGAATTTCTAGCTGTTGCTGCTTTGTTCTTCCAAAAGTGCATCTTCAAAATTAATTGAAATTGCAAATTTAACGAAGGGATCAGTAATCTATAATGTCCTCTCAGACTAGTTGGACAATTGGGTTCTTCTAATAAGGGCCCATCAGCAAGTAGTGTAGAAAATGTTGAACATGGCTAGGGTTATTAATTTCACACTATCACTGTTTCTTCCACGAAGTCTCAGATATAGTGAGAGGTAGAGCTGGTCAGCATTTGGCCCGTATGTATAGGAATAATCTGCAGATACTATGTTTTTGCGCAATTCCAAAGTACCTGTAGTCAATCTGGTTAACTATCTGGGGAACATACATCAAGAACAGCACAAGACTCTCCTGGTCTAAAAAATCATTTACAGTACGCAGAAAGAGACAACTGTTCCTTGATGACTTTTTTTTTTCCAAGAATTTCCTGATTTTTTTGAGATAAAGTATATCACCTCTTCAAGACTATCCTTAAAGATATTAAGTATCTACTTCTAGTGGTCCTCTGTGAATTAAGTGCTATTCTCCTGACTACAGTCATTGATAAGGTGCAATTAAAAGATGAGATCCTACAGTCATTTCTGGATACAAAAATGTGTGTGCTCATGGAGGAATGTGGTACTTATTCAGGCCATAAAGCATGTTAGACATGGAATACATGTAGAGTTAGGAATGGTGAACAGTCTATATCCAAACCCTGAAGACTTACAGCCTTTTAACTGATACTAGTAGCATGCTGAGGTCAAGTGAAAGTTGCACAATTTTCCAGCTTTCTAGTCTATCTTTAATGAATATGGTCTCATTCACTTTCCTGGATATATTCCTAAGTATAGGGAATGAGCTGTTGCTATAGCATGCTTCTAACATAGTTCTTTGCTGCTAGGCAAAAGCTCTGCAAAGTTTTGAATTAAATGTTTGAAATAATTGCTTCTCCAGGAAAAAAGAACAAAAACAAAAACAAAACTAAAAAACATTGCATTATATTTCTGCTTTACTCTTGTTCATTTTCACATACTAAAATATCACTTAGTAGTAGCAGAAATAGTGACTGTGGATGGTCTCTGAGATTAGCTGTAAAGAGCAAGCTGTGGTGGGAGACTAGAAGTCAATAATACTCCAACTAGAAGTATAATGCATTTGGAACTTATCATTTTCTTCATATAGAGCTGCTGAGATATCAGAAGAAAAAACAACCATATTCGTTTTTCCACATGAGTACCCACAGCAATGCAGACAGCATCAGGTGCATACAGCTGCAATGCAAGTATATTTATCTCTATATAACAATAACACATGGGAGAGAGATAAACAGGGGCAAATCTTTAGCTAACTGCAACAAATATCTTTACAAATATGACTGCATTGTCTACATGGAAAGGGCGTTTTTTGAAGATCTGAGATTGGACAAGTAAGAAAGAAGAAGAGGGGGGGGGACGGGACTGATACAAAACAGAGTAGAGAGGAATATCTAGCTATTGCCTACTCTCACACTACAATGTAGGCTGACAAGGTAGTACATCAAAAACCCTTCCATACAAAAATCAGCCCAGTGTTATGAAAACGTTACTGCCAGCTTCTGAACAGGCTTTCTGTTTTGATTGCCTTTCCAAAAGGATAAAGGGAGAATCACAATCTACATTGCTGCCCCTCAAGTAAATACAATAGACTAGTCCCCTCATCATTACTCCCCTTCATTTCCCATTAAACTCCCCTTCAGTGAATAACAAAGCAGACCCTTTCCTTAAACAAGAGGTACTTCAGCTTGCAAAGCTGTATGTTTGAGAAAAACATTCTCTGCCTGCCTGGAGCTCTGCCTACTTCTCTCCTCATCACGGCACAGAAAAATTTCATCCAATTTCAGACACAAAATGGTACTAAATAACCACATCTTTTGATTGCTTTGCTCTTCCTTATGATTACTTATTAAACACAGGATATATAGGCAAAATAGTGGTAAATAAAAGCTACATGTAGTATTTTCCCTTTTCCTAGTTTAAAGTCCAAGACAGGTAGAGAGTCATGGCCTGCAAATGACCATGAAGACAAAGTTTCCCAGTTATTTTAAGTTTGCACATTAAGTATTAAGTAAGTCTTTTCCCAAGGTGCTTAAAAAAAAAAAAAGTTACACCAAAGCTTGTATTGGATAATCATTTTGAAGATGTAACACAAGTTGTCACTTTGAGAGTCAAACGAAATGAGACAAATGTGTGTTTGACTTCATTCGGCACAGAGATTTTTATAAAAAGGGAAACAGGCTTTGGTTAATGCGGAAGTTTCTACCAGAAACAGCGATCTGTTAATTAAAAAGGAGCAAATCAGTGGGAAATGCTTTTTTCCTTGGCCTACAAAGTGGAATTATATTATTCATAAAAAGCATGAAAAGGGATCCTATAATACTGTATTCATTTATTGGATAATCATGACTTTCATTCAGTGATTCTCCTATACTTTGCTATTCCAATAATAAAAATGGCCAGGCTGACATCATACTTTTGCTGTTATTCCACAAGCCATCCTACTACTTGTACAATTTTAGGAAGATGTTACAGTTAACCTTGACTACTTCATTCTGTAACATAGACTCTCTCTCAGGCAAGTTTTTTTTTAAAGTTTCATATACCATAGACGTCAATATTGTATGTAGTAATATGTAACACTAATGCATAGCAACAACCTAATGTCAAATAGTAAAATGGCAAATAGGCACGTTCTAGCTAAAAGAAAAGTGAAAAAGAAGAGAAAAGACTAGATATTTTAAACAATTTATTTGTTACTGTAGCCCAAGGCTTTTTTCTGATTCTTTTCAAGCTGCAATCAAAATTACATGAAATATTTAAAATGCGATCTGGCAAGTTTACTTACTGTTTTCTGGATGCCAGCGCACTGCATTTAAATATGCATTACAGTAATGGAAGAGAAATTCATGCTTTGATCGGGTAACTTTTCCTTGAAGTAAAGGCATCAGATCATGTCCATCAATAATTCTGAGTAAGAAAGCATTTCAAAATCAGAACAATAACCCAAACTTCACCTTTCTGAGAAGACATTATGACTACATTTCCACTACTTAAAAAAGTAAATCTGAATGGCCACATCCAGTTGGTCAATTCAGAGAAAAATCTCCAGGTGCTCTTCCCCTTTGATATTTACACTATTTAAGGAAATACTAATTTTACATTTTGCCATTAGGACTGATTGTTTCCTCAGCCCATATATTTTCCTTTTTTTTTTTTTTTTCCCCTGAGAAAATGAACAGACGTGAATAAATTGCTACAACACAGTTCTCTAGGTATACCTGCTCAAGCTGTTCGGGAGTAGTCTGGACAAAGTAACCCTAAAACCAGAGAAATATATGCTATGCTGTGTTACCAACCCCACAAGTAATAGTAAGAACTCTGATCAGCAAATTACGTGTGCTAGAATTTAAGACAGAACTAGTCATTTCGAAGTTGAAAATGAACTATGTTTAAATACGTGTTTATCAACTACATACATACACAGAGAGAAATACATATATAAATTATCTACTTGCTGCTGGACAATTGTGATCATCCTGTGAAGGAATCAGTCAATTTAAATAAAAATGGAGTTATAAAATAAGCAAGACATTTAAATATTTCCATAAATTAAGCCTTTGCATTGCTGGAATCAGCTGGCAGGGGAGAAATCACAACCTACATTTTTTACCTGGTATGAATTACAAATTTTACAATAATTTTTGTAGGAAATTACTTTTTGCTGATGTACAGATCAGCAGGTAATTCTTTTTTAAGCATTTTGAGCAACATCTCATAAAAACTTGTCTGAAACTTTTCAAAAGTTTGAAAATGTCCACGTTAATTTTCATTACCATGCAAAACTCTTTTCACATTAGTGTAACTACAGGTACTAACTTCACTTTTTTAAGCCATGATCTATGTATGATTATGAAATTCTTGGCAGTGATCGTATGCAACAGGACCATATTCTGGGTAGGACTTTTCTCAAAGGATGATCAGAAAACATTCTGAAATTCCCAAAGCTGTGTTGTCCAATAACTCTGCTTTCTGGATGCGTCCCTGTCTGTGTGAGTTCATTGAATTAGAGTCTTTCCCACTTTCAATTTGTTGAGTTTCCTTGCCTGAGTAATGCACTCAGGCTTGTCTCACCCCTGCAGGCTCGCTCACTGTCAAGCTGACAGCAGGACAGATGCATGTCTATTGTACACTTTCTGTTCTACAGCCTGTTGATTGTGAAAAGGGTGTCTCCAGTCTCCAGTAATACATCTCTTGCATTCCCACAACTCTTGGTTTCACAAGGATAATAAGACTTTTCTTTCTGATTACTTATTTTTATTATTTAACTGGGAGTATGTCCTCCTTTCCTTTTTAGCCTGTGCCTTCCCGGAGATGGAACTCTATTGGTAGTAATTTCTCAGGAAAAATTCAGTGGAGTGCTAGTCCATAACCTACCAGAAACCAGTAATTATGGCATCTAGTCTACACAGAAGAATCAGAATGGATCAACTTGCAAGTGGAAGTTACACAAGTATATTGGGATTTCTATCAAAGAGATCAAAATAGAACATTGGTGCTTAGTATTCACTCAAGCAATATGAAAACAAAGTGCATAAGATCTGCCCACATTAAGAACAATCCGAACTGCTTAGGTTCGACAGTTACTGCTTGTAGGGGATCTCTCAGCACCAGCCTGACTAATTTTTCATGTCTTACACATGTCCTGCCCTGCCATTTCCTTCAAGGACTCAATGAATCATCATTAGCAGAGTGCCTCTGTTCACCCCTGGTTTTCCCCCCACGGATTCTGGATGCTTTGTACTCAAAAGTGGTTTGTGTATGGTAGATGTGTTCAAAGCATATGCATATCAGCAGGTTTCTCCACTTATTGGATTTGGATGTCAACAGAGTTTAAGTGGAGGCCCCTTGCTGCTGAAACTTGGTATCTCCTGAATAAGACAAAGCACAGAGATGTAGGAGCATCAATAAAGTATCTTAACGAATTTTAGAAGTCCAGCGGGTTTTCTTATCAGGCTGCAAAACTCTGCAAGGGATTATTTTCACTAACTCGATAGGCAACAAAAAAAAAGTGAGAAAAGCTTGGCCAGCATTTTGATGTGTTTTGTTATACTAAACAGGCCAAAGTTGAGTTAGTAAAGTTTAAAATAATTTACACTTGCAGCTCCTTTTCCTACCATGTTCACTCATGTAGAACAGAGCTTTTTTTGATGCATTCATTTTTGCTTTTAGTAAATAATTCTAGGCCTAATTTGACAGTATGTTGCTCTTGGTGGTAGTCTCTTATCTTCTTGTTGCTTGATACTTGTTCTGTAAGCTAAGCTGTATTTACATACAACCTTTCTGTAAAATATATTAGTATGTCAGTATGAAAAGAGACAACATACTACTGTTAAGTAATGACAAAAAAGTATTTTTAAAATCTAGTGGTTTTTTTTTTCATGTTCACCTCTATTTTAATAGACACCACCAGAATGTATAAAACACTCATGAGACTTTCTCTAAAACAGAGATATCTACAGAGCATACCTGTCAGAGGGTAACTGTGCCTCGGCAAGCTTGGCTATCGTAGGAAATATATCCATGTTACTTGTTGGCTCATCGATATAGGCACCAGCCTGTATGACTCCAGGCAAACGGAGAAGCCCTGGCACACGAATACCTCCTTCCCAGTTCATTGATTTTCCACCTGAAAAATGAAAGTTTTGTTTGCTAAGAAATCAATTTCTTTTTAGAAAAATACCCTCCCGCAAGATCCGATTCCCAAATATGAAAAATTCTGTTTAGCTAGAATCTTTCCATTAAATGCATTTATATCATTTTTAATTTGTTAGGTCTAGATTTCTCACCTATAATCTGTACTTTTCCCACGGTAAATCTAATAATATGTATTAGATAGAGCTTATAAAATGTATTTAGTTTACAAACAAATAACAGCTGTAGGAGACAAAAAGGCGTCTTGCAGGAATCTTCATATAGAATTCAGTCTAAATAGCGTGTCACATAGCCATGTGAAGATATAATCAAACAAAGGAATGGAAAGGCATTCGAGGATGGGCCTGCGCTCCTAGCATCCGGCTAAACATGGGGGGACCTCATTAATGTTTATAAATATGTAAAGGGTGACTGTCATGAGGATGGAGCCAGGCTCTTCTCAGTGGCATCCAATGATAGGACAAGGGGAAATGGATATAAGCTGGAACATAGGAGGTTCTGCTTAAACATGAGTAAGAACTTCTTCCCAGTAAGGGTAACAGAACACTGGAACAGGCTGCCCAGAGAGGTTGTGGAGTCTCCTTCTGTGGAGATGTTCGAAACCCGCCTGGACGCATTCTTGTGTGATCTGATCTAGGTGGTCCTGCTCTGGCAGGGGGATTGGACTAGATGATCCTCTGAGGTCCCTTCCAATCCCTAACATTCTGTGATTCTGTGATTCTGTAAACAACAGGAATCAAAAATAAATTGAGGTATGCCTAGATGTCTGAGGTATGAACCCAGAGACAATATATAGCAATTTATTAAAAATGGTGCTTAATGACTTTAAATAGAAGAAAGCACTAATTAAAGTATGTTACTAAATTCTCCAATTCAATGCATTAGGAAGAAATTCATTACAGAGACAGCAGATATCAGGACTCTGTGAAGACCTTTTCTACTTCTAAGCCAACACAGTTGCATCAAATGCACTACCAACTGATTGCATTCAACACTTCATTGCAGTTGTTTCCTTTGTTTCTACAATATCCATCATCCTCCAGTCCTCCCAACATCTTTGCAGAAGGGCAACTTACTTTTTCTATGACAACGTTTCTAACATTACTTAATATATGATTGGCATACCTCTGTATGAAGAGCAATCACAAGTGCTACTATTAATGTCTTACACAGCTATGTGACAATGTAGAGCCCTTCGGGTTGATCTTTGAAATTAATATATCACTTGGAAAAAATGTTTCTGGTAAACAGACAGGTTTTGGATGTGGTTAAGCATGGTCTTGGCCAGGCATTTACAACTAAATCGAGATTGTTTTATATAATAGAAATGTCTGAAAGAAGAGGAATATGTGTGTTGAACCTGTGCCGCTAACTGAATCAAATAGAAATTCATGGTTCAAACAAAACTACTATAAACCTATTTTTCTTATGTCTCCCTTTTTCAGGCAAAAAAAGCCACAAAAGAACAAAATATTACAACATAGTACTTCAATAGTTCTGTCTCCTTGCCTCTTAGACCTTCAAAACACCACACAGATGTTAACATCTTTGGTGTCAAGCCCAAGCCTTGCCATACATGCTGTCTATCTTACTGACTTCTCGATGATCTATTTCAGCATTGAGGGATTCAGAATCCACTTGTTTTTCTACAGGTTTTTTCAGTGTCCATAAAGATAAGTGGCAACTTCAAGAGAGAAAACGCTCTTTTGCATAGATTTTACCCATTATATATATATAAAATCTTGTGGCTGAAAAAAACTTTAGGGTTTATAATTCTTTGTTATATTAGATTTTTGTTAACTTTTTTTCACAGGTTTATCAGAATTCACAATATTGGTTAGTCAGGGACAAATAATTATCTACTCTGAAATCAGGAAACTTAACTTTCTAATATCCAACATTATGTCAAGCAACGAACTTTGCTTAAATTGTTTTTGGAAAGCAGTGCCAAGTTCAGATCTCAACAAGACTGCCTGTCTTTTAGAGCAGTCTTAAAAATTTACTCTTGTCACTGCATCAAATGCAATTCAATTCTCACAATAAAGCACATGGCTACCTATTCTAAAACTCAGGAATAAGATGCATGGATTATTTTTGTTTGCATTCTTGTAAAACTAGGATTTTCAAAACAAAAATGTAAATAAAATGTAGATTTAAGTTTGTAAAGGTGTTATTTGGTGAGGTTTAAAACATCTGCCACCTAGCAGAAGGAGGTGTGCACCCAACAGTATGGTGATCAGTTGTTAATACAGTTGGGTCGAGACCAGTGTATATGTCAACAGACTGTGTGCATCATCTGTAGAAAAGATTACTCTATCCATGTACAACAGTCATTAGGATTTTAAAAGTTTGGTGGGGATTATGTGTTACTTAGCAGGAAAGTGTCAAGATTAATATCCTGACTGGGCTACGGTTCATAGAAAATCCTATTGAGCAGAAGTAGTTAAATCCGAATAAAAATACAAGAAATGTGTAAGGACATAAAATTACAGATATCCTCAAATTAAGATATTTTTTAGTGAACAGTTATGCTGCGGAGATAATTTATGAGTCGGATCCTAGTTCCATGTACACATCACAGTAGCTTGTTGGCTGGACAATATGGACAGACAGAGAAGTATAAGAGCTGACCTATACCATAGGTAGATTTAAGTGTGAGGTTCCTTTTGTTTCTGTATACCTGTCTGAACCTAGTAACAGTGCTAGCTAGATTGGATTGTTTAAATAAATTCTTGTTTTACTATTTCTTTCTGCATAATCCGAAGACAGAGCAATTTCAATGTAAGTGGTGAATCTCATTCCCACACAAGTTGCGATTCTTAAAACCTATATATTGGATCACTTTCACAGCTCCTAGGTTCACAGTACGCTTTTCTTGAACCATTACAGAACAGGACAGAAAACTTGCACGCTACCCAAGTACAAAGAGAGCACTCGGCAAACTCTGCCTCCCTGCTGTGAGGCACAAAAAAGAAAAATGGACTCCACAGCAGGGCTATCTCCTCACTTATGTCTGTGAAGAAGTGACTGCTGTTTTCCTTCCAAAAGATTAATTGGAGCATAATTTTTTGATATCTCTAGAGGTTAGGAATAGCAGAGAACCAGGGCAGGAATTACAGGTCATTGCGGAAGACTGTCTTCTATTATCTGTGCCTATGTGGTGTTCATCTTTATTAGAAGTGTGTTTAGTGACATCACTAGAGTTGCTTAATGCCATTATGTGATTACAAATCTCTTGACATACACTGTCTTTAAAGCTCTAGTTGTTAAACATTGCTCAAGCTATCTGCATTCTTTTTTTCCTTAAAAAATAAATCAAGGTTTCACTAATAATGCTTGAAACATGAAGCAAACATCCAAACAGCTAAAATTAGAAAGAAAAAAAAAACCAACACAAAAGGTCATTATTTAAAAATAAAATCTCTTGATATTTCCAGATCTGACTCATTAGTTTTGTATTTTGCTTGGACTTGACAACACTGAAACAGAGAAAAGGCAGAAACCTAGTAGTCTGTATGCCTGGCAAACTCTAGGCAGCCTAGCTATATATTATTTTTGTTCTCTTAAATTCTTCTAAAAATGTTTTCAGAACAGCATAAAACATCCTGGGGCTGTATTTTCATGCTTAGCTATCTATGCTTTCCGAGTAGCTGTACCCTTTAGTGTTACATTGAACAATAGCCCACATTCACCTTTCCTGAAAAATCTGCAGGAGCAGGCAAAGTACAGACACAACTCTCTGCAGTCATCCACAACATGATGTCAAATTTTCATTTTAAACTCATTTCAAATCTTAGCTAAAAGAATATCTCGTTTTCTCCCTCTGGTTTAAATTGACTGCTATTACCCAACTTTGGGAATAGAGCTTTTACAAAGGATGATATATAAAGGGGAACTCTGTGGTATATCACTATTAATATTTTGAATGACGAATGATGAAAACTATTTAAAATAACTTTCTTAGGTCACTTGGATTAAAACCATACTACTCTTATTCCTTCTTATATTCTTCTAAAAACAAAGCTTCCAAACTCAGTTTATTCTCTTGAATGATAGAAAAATACAAGGAAATTCATTATTCTACCGACCTGTAGTGGACTTTATGCTACACACATCGACAATCAAAACTGGTTACTATTACTTACTTTATAAAATGATCAAAACCCGATTTATTTTCAATGGCAAGTTCACTCTTTATTTTACTGATTTTTTTAATCTGTTTCATGTACTGCTTTTGTTAATTTTCAACCTGAGCTGTTCTTGTACAGGTGAATGTAACAGACATAGCTCATTTGCACATCTTCTTATCTCATCTTTCTTCAATGAAATGAAATGGTTTCTTGGGATATTTTCTATTTCAGTCAAAATTGCAAGATGGGTTGATTATTTAAAAACCTGGATCACTTCAGAGAGAATACAAAAATACACTATATGTGAAAGAAAAGGTCAATTCCTGCTCTCATTGAAGTCAAAAGTAAAACTCCAACTAATATCATTAAATATGCAATAGCATATTTCCTGAGGCCGAAGTAATGGTCAGCTTGATTTCTCTGTGGCTTACAGACAGGAAAAGGTTTACTAATAGCTTCAAGAAACACTGCCGCATGAACTTATCACTGCAGTATATGAAATTGTACAGAAATAATAAATTTCAATAAAATATTGGATAAATCAGTTCTCCAGTCTTTGTTTAGCTCTCACAGATCTGTAGTAAATTTAGAAAATCAAGATCTAAGTCTTTAAGAAACATTCATTATTATTTTTCATGGATATTAACAGAGTAACTGAATACACCTATTTCTAAGGCACAAAGCACTTGAATGTTTCTCAAATGGTTTGCCATTATCAGCTCTTGACTCGGATTCCATTAGCAGCAGAACTCATGCCCCACTGTAGCAGCATGACAGTAGCCAAGCGTCTGTATGCTTTGTGCTAAATGCTTCATAAATACAAAGAAAGATAATGTTTCTAATG